CGGGCTCCCGGCCGGACTGTGGGGCGCGGCCGGTGATGGGAGGCGCTTAGCGTAGCGCCCGGTCGGAAGCCCAGCTGTTTGTCCGGACCTCGGACCCATGAGCCCTCCGCCAGAACCTTGGTTTTTCTTTCTTTTCTTTTTTTTAAATATATCTTTGTTGACTTCAGAGAGAGGAAAGGAGCGGGGGAGAGAGATGGAAACATCAATGATGGGAGGGTCCTTGATCGGCGGCCTAGCCCGCAACCCGGGCGTGTGCCTTGACCGGGAATCGAACCCTGATCTCCTGGATCCTAGGTCAATGCTCAACCGCTGAGCCACGCCCGGCCGGGCTCTTTCTTTCTTTTTTAAAAAATATGTTTTTATTGATTTTAGAGAGAGAGGAAGGGAGAGGGAGAGAAACATCAATCGGCTGCCTCCAGCCCGCCCCCTACTGGGGAATCTAACCGGTAACCTGAGTATGTGCCCTGAGCAGGAATCGAACCAGCCCCACTGGCCAGGGCTGGAACCTTGTTTTTTCACTGGACGTGGACATCTCTCCTTAAGCACAGAAAGGGTGCAGAGCAACAGAGTTGGTGAAGGGTGTGCAAGGGGCACAGGGGCTTCAGGGGCGGCCAGGGGCAGAGGAGGTGGGGGCTGCAGGAGGGATACTAGATGACCTCACTACAGTGAGCCACCTGGACAGCTAACACACCCCGCCTTGCGGCCCCTCTTGCATTGTAACCCTGAGGCCTAGTCCAGCAATAAGTTGTTGTGTTGGAAAGACATACTCCAAGTGGATCCTTAAGGCAGAATAGTTATGTCATAGATTGTTGAAAAAAAACTTGGTCTGAATTCTAACTCAGGATTTACCCTTTCCAAGCCCAATTCTTCTCTTCTGTGAAGTTGGGTAAAAGTAATTACTGTCTTGTAAGATTGCAGGAAATATGTATAACTCTCAGCACAGTGTTGGGTGTGTCTGTATAAATCCAAAACTGGGGAAAACCTGTCTCAGAAAGGGACTTTTTAAAAAATATATATATATATCTTTATTGGTTGCAGAGAGAGGAAGAGAGAGACAGAAACATCAGTGATGAGAGTCGTCATTGATCGGCTGCCTCCTGCACGCCCCCGACTGGGGATCGAGCCCACAACCCCGGGCATGTGCTCTGACAGTGAATCGAACCTCGATCTCCTGGATCCTAGATTGATGCTCAACCGCTGAGCCATGCCCAGCCGGACAAGAGACTTTTAAGTATGAAAACTTTAGACCTTTGCCTGGTATAATCCTTCACACTCCAGAGCCAGACTGAGTTCAAATTCCAGCTCCATGGTTTACAGTCTCTGTACCTCTCACTTTTCTTATTTCAGAATGGAAATAAACTACTCCTGAGAATTAAGTTAATGTACAGGGTGGGAATAAGTAGTTTTACAGTTTGTATGGAAAAAGACATGCAGGTTATGATTATTATAATAACTTTATTAACTCAAAAGAATGTCACAATGCAACTGTAAACCTACTTTTTCCCATCCCTGTATTTATAAAGCATTTAGAACAGTGTCAGGCAGAGTAAGTAAAACATAAATTATTGTTAATAAATAAAACAGAAACACCATGTTGGGTTTGAATTTGTGATCCAAACCTTCAAATGCATCTCCTCACTTGCGACGCACATGTGGAAGAAGCAGACATTTCAGAGGCCAACCCTTTTTCCAGCCTTGTACTCCACTAGTCTGAACTCCTGGCAAACTGAACCCAATGCTTTTCTACCTGCCCTACTTTATGGGGTGCTCTCAGGTGCACAACATCTTCCAGCTTGTCTGCAAGGACCACCTACTTATACCAAGCTCCAGATGAAAAGAGGGGAGACATCTGGCAAGTGGGTGAGTGGGTCAGATTTCTGGTCTCTGCCTTTTCGGGCCTAGGGAGCTGGAGCCCACAAGGCTGAACTGTCCTCCCTGTGGTCTGGAGGGATGAGGACTTCCGTTCCACTCTCCCACACCCTGCTGTGGGGACTCAAGCCAAGGCGAGCAGCAGGGACTTGCAAAGGAGGGAGAGTGGAACAGGAAGGCTCCTGGGAGGCACCCCACCCTGACACCTCTGCCCATGGAAACAATGGTGCCCCTGATAGTGTGGGGAGGAAGGGCCTGGAGTGGGAGCTAGAAGGAAGCAAGGACACCACAGGGACTCGAACCCTGACCCAGCAGTGCTGGGTGTGCCACCACCAGTGCCTTTTGCTTTTTCCTGCTCATTTTCTCACAGACTCAAAGGTGAAAAGCAAAACCTGAACGCGGCCATGAGCTGCGTCCAGTAAAAGAAACACCTACGGCGGCTCCGCGCCTCCCTCCCTCCCAGGCTCACTCCTTCCTATCCTGACACCCCTTTCCAAGTACAGCTGGGGGACTCTCGTCCCCTCAGCTTCAGGGCCACAGGTTTCCTGTTGTGCTGGATGCACGTCCGAACTGCAGGAGCCCATGAGGTCAGACGGGCAAACTGAACCACAAGTTATGGTCCTGCCTGTTCTAGGAAAGTGACAAGTTTTTTATGTGTACAGAAATTTCCAGAAAGATTTGAAGAAATTTGAGAGGCCACCTCTGTGTAGTAAGACTGGGATGGGTGAGAGAAAGGGACTTGACTTTCCTTTTGTATCTTTTCCATGGCTTGAATTTTCCACTCTATGCAGATTACTTTTCTATTTAAAGATAAAAAAATCTTAGGTTTTCTATCAGAACAGGAAACCTAAGAACTAGGGGACAGTTTGGGCACTCTGGCCCAGCTCGAATGCCAATGGCTATCCAGGTCACACAAATGCGTCCACCTGCCTCGCCTGTGGTCCTCCGATCTCTCCCATCCTCGCTGTGGAGTCCTTTCTGGGACCTGCCATTACTTGAACATGAAGTCAAAAGCATGGTGCCCCCACTGGCCTCTCACCGGAGTCTGAGTTCCAGGGAAGACAGGTCTAAGTCACCAGGGCCCAAGGTTCATGAAGCCCATCCTGGACCCTTAGCCAGTACCTGCCCCAGCCCACTGCCCGTAGCACCCACTGCTCCCAGCCCAGGCTCTGCCTCTGCGGGCCCCGACGGGTCCAGTGGAAGCATCCCCCACGAGCTCCGCAGTCCTTGTCCCGGAGTCCCATCACCTCCTCTCTTGGGGAGGGGCCCTCATGTCAGCCCTGAGGAGTTCAGAAGTCCATCCTCAGCAAGGTCCAGGGGAGAAGCTTTGGCTCAGAGAGGGATGAATTCTGCTCAGGGTCACACGGAACTGAGAACTGGGTCCTTTCTACTCATTCCAAGGAATGAATGTGAGCAGAGCCAGCCCCACTTCTCTCTCACACACACACACACACACACACACACACACACACACACACTCATACATAACGGTCACACAGTCATATACACAGTCATACAGATACAGCCACATACATACAGTCATACATACACTGTCACAGTCATATATACACAGATCAGCCACACACACACAGTCATACATACACTGTCACACACAGTCATATACCCACATAGTCATACATACACAGCTTGTGGACTACCAGGTGGGCTGAGTCACACCTGCAGGCTAGCCCCGCACCTCTCACCCCGGCTCCCTCACCCCCCCAGTCCCTCCTCCTGGCCCGTCTTCCCTCACAGCCTCCCTTCAGCTTCACCCCCACACACCACAAAGGGCAGCACTTACTGATTGCAGCAGGAGAGAGGAACCATGAACGGCCATCTAAGTCCCAACCTGACGATGAAGGAACAAAGCTCTGGCCTTAACAGGCCTCAGAAATGTGGGGAGTCAAAACATACTCTGTAAGATGAGCAAAGAATTAACGTAACATGTTAGTGACAGGCCTCAAGGCTTGTACTGCGGGGACCCCAGGGAGTGCACTACAGGGAAACGCCCGCCGCTGGCTAAAAGGGCGAAAGTTAGAATGGCTTCAAGGAACCACTCCGCACTCAGTCCATGAGCAGAAGTAAAAAGAAATTGTGTCTGCAGGGCCATGGGGGAAACAACAGTGTACATAACTCACCCCTTAGAACCATCCGGAGGGCACGGGGCAGTGAGCAAGGACAGAGCAACTGCCCCTTCCCTTTTGCCAGTTGGGACTGCTAACCAAAGGTAGCCTTGAGGTGTAAAGGGAGATTTGCCCAAAGACTCCGACGGTGAGTTACAATCACAAACTGCTGGAACCAGCCCCCCTGGCTCACAGGTGGCCCTCACAGGCTCACCCTGGCATTATTTCAGCATGGGGACCTGTGCCCACCACATAACCTGAAGTGGAAAAGCAAAATAACCAATCACAACCGTGTGAAATAAAGCAGAAAAGAGATGTAAAAACAGCTTCAAAACTCTGTAGTTGAAAGTAACCCCCTGACAAGTACTTCAGTCAAATGCAAATGCAAACAGGACGCAGCCCGGTGAGGGGGCAGGGGGCAGGTGCAGGTGCAGGTGCGGGTCTGGCCTGTCCACAGCAGACAACGTGAATTCCAAGCAGAGAGCCCTCCACAGAGGAGGTCGGTTTGTGCTGCGGGGAATCTCGAGGTTCCAATAACACTGCAGTAAAACACATGGAACAAAACTGTAAGCTGCCTCCATGGGTGTGAGGAGAACCAGAGGTGGTGGGAGTGTGGGCCCACTTCTCATTTACAGGATAGAGTGGATCTGGATCGGACCGAAAA